GGTGGGAACCTGCCAGCTCAGTGGCCTGAAACCCTGTGACACAGGTGAGAAAACCGAGCTGGAGATGGAGCGGTGACCTGCCTAAGGTCACCCCGTGGCCAGCTGCAGCTGTGCTGGTCCTCCAGGGTCTTTTTCCTGGGCTGCAATCCCCTTCCCACCTGAGTCCATGTGGCATCTTTGTCAACTGCCATCTCTGTGCTTCCATTTCTTCTGTCTGGTAAAAATGGGGTAACTAAGCTGGGTGGTCTCACAGGAGTTCCACAGCTGTGGAAAGACTCTCTCTATAAGACCGAGTCTAGAGTCGACTCTAGAAACCTGAGGAACATCCCCATGAGCATTAGGTAGGATTCCAAAAATAAAATATGCCAGCAGCCGGATTGTCTTGACTCTTGTTGGAAGAACTCTGGGCCCAGCTTCAAGTCTGAAGCCACCAACCTGGGGCCTTCATCTTGGAAGAATTTACCGATCAAAATACATTTACAAAGTAAGACTTTAATTTTTCATATTAATTCATCTAAAATATGCACATGTATACGTATAAATTGCCTGCAGAGTTTTTGATCCACATGAGTATGACTGCACTGAAATGCACTTCATCTCTGTCCTTCATGACCTACTTCCTTCGGGTCTGGGAGGCTTTGCAACACCTCTTTTGAAGTGGAAGTTTCCTCAGAGTGAGTCATGGCAGTTACTCTTAATGCCTTTGCTATTGGATAAGCGTTTCTGACAAGGGTGTCCTGGCCCCAGGGGACCCTCCAAAGAAACAACAGAAAAATTATGTACAATGAGTGCTTGTCACGTCTTTAATTAATGAAAAGTTAAAGATTTGTGAAGTTGGCTTTCTGGTTTGCGAACAGAGACAAAGGGTGAGAATATCAATGCGAGCACTTAGACTGTTTTCATTTATACAAAAAATACTGGCAGGAGTAGCACATTTCCCACACAGACTAAAATGTGGATTTTCTTTCTCTTGGGCTAGCAATGCATCATTTCAGTGCAGTCATACTCATGTGGATCAAAAACTGCAGGCAATTTATACGTATACATGTGCATATTTTAGATGAATTAATATGAAAAATTAAAGTCTTACTTTGTAAATGTATTTTGATCGATAAATTCTTCCAAGATGAAGGCCCATCAGAAGAAAAGTAATTAAAGTGGTCTTTGGTGACAAATTCTTAGGTATCTGCTATCTTCCGGCCGAGGGCAAAAAAGGCATGAAGGATGGGTTGTATTAAAAGTGAGTGAGGTTCATATGTGGAATTTAAGAAACAAAACAGATGAACACAGGGGAAGGGAAGGAAAAATAAGATAAAAAGAGAGAGGGAGGCAAACCAGAAGAGGCTCTTAAAAGACAGAGGACAAACTGAGGGCTGCTGGAGGGGAGGGGAGTGGGGGATGGGCTAAATGGGTGATGGGGATTAAGGAGGGCACCTGTTGGGTTGATCACTGAGTGTGTTATGTAAGAGATGAATCACCGGGTTCTACTCCTGAAACCCATACTACACTGTACGTTAACCAGCTTGAATTTAAATTAAAAAAACAAAAAACAAAAAACAAAACAAAACTGAGGGATTTTCTCAGTGGAACCAGGGACGGGATGTCAGTGTTTGGTGAGTTGTGCCCTCAAGAGGCCAGCCTGTCTTTCGTTACAGTGACCTGCAGGGATGAAAAAACACAGATGCTGTACCTGCAGAATGAGTCGTGGCTGCGCCCCGTACTCAGAAGCAACCGGCTGGAATACTGCTGGTGCAACAGCGGTCGCTCGCTGTGCCACTCGGTGCCCGTCAGAAGTACGTATGGGGCCCCTGGGTGGCTCAGTCAGCTAGCCTCTGACTCTCGATCCTGACTCCGTCATGATCTTGCGATTTCTGGGTTCGAGGGCTGACAGTGCAGAGCCTGCTTGGGATTCTCACTCTCCCTCTCTCCTCTGCTGCTCTTCCACTCCCACACACACACTCTCTCCCTCTCTCAAAATAAATAAATAAACTTTAAAAGTATATTTTTTAAAAATGTACATATGGACTGCCAGTGGAAGCTTTGAGCTTTGGGTCCAATTTCCTGGGCCCAAATCCTGTATTTCACGTCCCTGGCTTGTCCAGACCTCCTCTTGCCTTGGGCAAATGTGAACGTGCTGAGCAAACAAGCAAGCCTGGGGCCTGGGGCTCTGCCTTCACTCACCCGGCCTCAGCTTCCTTGTCTGTCAAATGGGGAGAAAGTAGTACCTACTTCATGGGGCGCAGTGAGTATTAAATGAGTTATTTTTGTAAACTGCCTAGAACAGTGTCTGGCAGGTAGAGCGCATTCTTAAAATTTTAACTCCTTTATCCTTGGAACTGCTTTGAAGTAATTCCTTGTTTGTACTTGGCAGGTTGCAGCGAACCGAGGTGCTTCAATGGGGGGACGTGCCGGCAGGCTCTATATTTCTCAGATTTTGTCTGCGAGTGTCCTGAAGGGTTTTCAGGGAAACGCTGTGAAATAGGTGAGTGGTGGGTAGGTGGTGCGAGAGAGGGACAGAATCCCAAATCTTCCCAGGAAGGGGAGGAAGAGTGTGGTGATGGGGGCAGGGTGGGGACAGGGAAGGTCGTCCAAGGGTCGGTTAGGCAATCAAAGCGCTGGGCCCAGTGGGTGCCGTCTTGGGTGCCGGGCTGGAGTCTGGCTCTGCCGCCGGTCAGCTGGGTGAACTGGCCGCCCCGTTTACCTCCTTTGCTCCGGCAGCTTCCGCAGCCAGCCCGCCACACTGGCTTGGGGGTGATGCCAGAGCAGGTGTGAAACCCCTTTGGAAATCTAAAGGAAAGAGGGGGACTCACATGTGAGATGTCACCTGTCCTGTTTCGATCAGATGCCAGTGCCACATGCTACAAGGACCAGGGTATCACCTACAGGGGCACGTGGAGCACAGCGGAAAGCGGGGCCGAGTGTATCAACTGGAACAGCAGCGTACTGGCCCCGAAGCCCTACAACGGACGCAGGCCAAACGCCATCATGCTGGGCCTTGGGAACCACAATTACTGCAGGTGAGAGGGCCGTCCTCCCTACTGGGTGGGCTTTCCTCCAGTGAGGAGCTACTAGAGTCGGGGAAAAGGCCTAGTTCAGATCAGCCATGGTTCCCCAGAGACAGAGAACCAATACATTAGATACACATACAGGAATTTATTATAAGGAATTGGCTCACCCAATTGTGGGGGGTGGCAAGTCTCACATCTGTAGGCAGGCCAGCGAGCTGGGCGCTCAGACAGGCTTTGACAGCACAGTCTTGAGGCAGAATTTCTTCTCAGCTTTTGCTCATAAGGCCTCCCACAGATTGGATGAGGCTGCCCACAGATGGAGGATGATCTCTACTCAGAGTCGACTGATTGTGGCTGTTAACCGTAGCGATCTCTTCACCACAGCACCTAGGTTCATGTTTGATTAATAACTGGGCGTTCTAGCCAAGGTAATACATAAAACTAACCGTCACAGGCCACCCCTTGTCAACATGGCTCCTGGGCCTCCTTCAACCATACTTACTCTCCACATGAAGACAATGACCAGGTCATACTTCCACCTAACGCAATACAACTGTCCTGTGTACGACCAGAAATGCACTAACCTTTTCTCCAGAAGAGGATGGAAAGGCCTTGGGTCTGAGAGGGAGACTTCCCTTTTCACCTCCTCTGGCCTTCCCTGGCTGCTTTTTCAGGAACCCAGACAGAGACTCAAGGCCCTGGTGCTACGTCTTCAAGGCAGGGCAGTACAGCACTGAGTTCTGCAGCACGCCGGCCTGCCCCAAGGGTAAGCGCAGCCTCCCCGCCTTCCCTGGTGGTGTCTGGGGAAGAAGAGTCTCGAAAGACAGATCTGATAGTGTTTCTACAACTGAGGAGACGAAGGAGTGGGCTAGTGGTTGACCATTTTGTTCACAGAGGGAAGAAAGTCAGGAGACTCAGGTCTTCACCCAGGCCTGGCTTCTAACTAGCTGTTTGACCTTGAGCTGGTCTCTTTACCCACCCCCCCCCCTCCTCCGACCCTCAGGTTCCTCGTTTACAGAGGAGAAGGTGGGCTGCATGGGTGGTTTCCAGTCCTCTTGAGGATGAACGGAGATTCTCCCTTTTGTGATTGATGGGCCTAATTCTCAAATTTATTTTTTTTTTTAATTTAATTTTTTTTAATTTTTATTTTTGGGACAGAGAGAGACAGAGCATGAACGGGGGAGGGGCAGAGAGAGAGGGAGACACAGAATCGGAAACAGGCTCCAGGCTCTGAGCCATCAGCCCAGAGCCTGAGGCGGGGCTCGAACTCACGGACCGCGAGATCGTGACCTGGCTGAAGTCGGACGCTTAACCGACTGCGCCACCCAGGCGCCCCAGATGGGCCTAATTCTCAATCTCTGTCTCTCTCTTTAAAAATGTTTAATAAGAGAAAATTTCCCAAATTTAAAAACCCTAAGGTACAAAAAAGCACCCTGAGTTCTGTGGTCCTTCCACAAACAATGATGTCACAATAGTATGAAAAATAAGTTTTAAAGTTCTAACCACTCATATACGATAATAATGTGCATTCTGTCTACAGGTAGGTCTGACATACCTGTCTGTGAATTTGAGGGCTCTTTACACTAATTCTTTTTTTTTTTTTTTAATTTTTTAAAATCTTTATTTATTTTTGAGACAGAGAGATACAGTGTGTGAGCAGGGAAGGAGCAGAGAGAGAGACACACACACACACAGAATCTGAAGCAGGCTCCAGGCCCTGAGCTGTCAGCACAGAGCCTGACATGGGGCTCGAACTCATGAACTGTGAGATCATGACCTGAGCCGAAGTTGGACACTCAACTGACTGAGCCACCCAGGCACCTCCTCTTTACACTAATTCTAAAGCATCCTCCCCACTTCCAGGATTGGTAAAATTGGGACTCACTGGTCTAGGTGGCCCTTTAGTTATACTGTTTATAGTGGTACACTTTGCCAGTTTCAAATTGGGAGAAAGGAGGGTAAAATGGGGGCAAATAGGTGAAAATAGGCAGCATTCCTGGGTCCATGTCCTCTCTCCTGCTCGATCCCAACAAATCCTTCAGATCACTGGCAGACAAAATCTGGGAACTTAGGGGCTGCGGACATGTCCGTCCATTGAAGATCCTTGGTTCGCCACAACCTGTCAAGTACAAACCAGGAAACCCCCTGTTACTTTCAAAGCAGCTCTGGCAATAATCACCTATAATTGAACACAGCATCCCTTTCTGCTGAATGCGAATCAACCCTCAGCATCACTCGACACAGCAATCTAGGAAGCCACATCCAATCATGAAAGTTGGCCCAGCAGACAGAAGCCACTTCGCATCCCTCTGTAAAAGGGCTGGAAGAATGAGGAAAGAGGGGAGGTGGGATGCTATCACATCCTTCTTATGGCTAGCCTGGCTGCCTACAGCCTCTCGGGCCAGCGGCTCCGGCTGCAAACCCTGATGTACCTGCTGTAGCATTTAATTGGCTATGTGTCAATGTGAGACTTTCTTTTGTTCCAGAAAAAAATGGAGACTGCTACTTTGGAAAAGGGTTAGCATACCGTGGCACCTACAGCCTCACCACATCTGGTGCCTCCTGCCTCCAGTGGAGTTCCAGGGCCCTGATAGGCAAGGTCTACACAGCGTGGAAGAACAACGCCCAGGCACTGGGCCTGGGCAAACACAACTACTGCCGGTACGTAGCATAGGGGCCATGGGTTCCTATCTGGGCAGGGGGCAGGAGTGGGCGGTGGGATGAGAGATTTCATGCCTAAAGTTGTATGAAAGACTCAGTGGGTGGGAAGGAACCATGGACATTATCTGGCCGCACGTATTCATTTGCTGGAATAACACCTGTTATGAAGAGTGAAGTTCACCAGTGTTTCAGCCCACGTCCCAGACTAGAGGTGCCGTCCCACAGCCACTCTGTCCTCATTGTTCTGTTCCTCCGTGGCACCTTTCTCCCAGTGAGTCATAAGAGTGTTCTCATAGCATTGCTCACGGTAACTTCCAACACACCTGCGAGATGACGATGTTATATTGCTGATAGAAAAACAAAGTTAAGATTGTTTTCCTACCGTGAGATCTCTGATGGAGCCAAGTTCAGAACTCAGGACCCTCCTGCCCAGCTCAGTGTTTTTGCCATCGGTTTACTGAGCCTCCTTCCTCGCTCACGGGGCCTGCGATGGGATTGAAAATGTGATTGAGAACCTTGACCTCTCTCACCATCTAGGAACCCAGATGGAGATGCCAAGCCCTGGTGCCACGTGTTGAAGGACCACAAGTTGACGTGGGAATACTGTGATGTGCCCCAGTGCTGTAAGGGCTGGCCCTTGGCCACCTCCCTCTGCCCAGTCTCACCTCCTGGCCATTTCCTCTACCATTCCCTGTGTCTTCACAGCTGTCTGCTTCAGACCCAGATTTTTAGGAGGGCCTTGGTGGGGAGGGGCCTCCCATGACTGGAGCCACGGTAGGATGAAAACACTCTGGGCAGGTGCTCACTTCCCACGCACGACCAGGATGGGAGGGGCAGAAAGAAAGAGAAGAACTTGCCAGTTGCTCTTAGCATTTATTAGGCTCTAAACTTCTCTCTCCAGTTGCCTTTATTAATGATTGACCATGAGGTCATAGTGAGCATAGAGGAGGATAGCTCTCATATGTGGCTCCCTAGATAGCAAAGTGCTCTCACTGTGTGCTCCCGACAACGTGGTGACAGGCAGTCCTCCTACGTCCAGCTTACTGATGAGGAAAGCAGCTCAGAAGTCATGTGGCCTGCCCAAGCTCACTGGGCTCTGAGCCACACAGCTGGGGTCTGACGCCGCATCCTCGGACCCCACAGCTCGTACTTCTGCTGTGAGCTTTTCCACCTTTCCCACAGAGCCCATTTAACACAGGGGGACTCTGGAGGGGGTTAACACTGGGTTAGTGGAGGGGGTGGAAGACAGAGAAAATTTAAGGTGGCGCATTTTGCTAAAAAAAGACACTGAGAATAGATTATTATAAACTTTTTTAAAGTTTATTTATTTATTTTGAAAGAGAGAAAGAGTATAAGTGTGAGAGGAATGGGGACAGAGAGAGAGAGAGAGAGTTTGGAAGAGCATCCAAGCAGACTCCATGCTGTTAGCGAAGAGCCCAATGTGGGGCTCCGAACTCACAAACCGTGATACCATGATCTGAGATGAAGTTGGACACTTAACCAACTAAGCCACCCAGATGCCCCTCTGTGAATAGATTATTATTACTCAGTTCCTGTGAATGCACGTACCTGCCAGAATGTTTCTCAAGGAACATATTATTTAACTGGGCAAGTAAGACACAAACCACCAATGAACTCACAGCCAAAGTCCTACATGGTAGGTCCTCAGTGGGCAGGATCAGCAAGCTCATTCAGAGCCTGGTGGGCTGAGAGTGTTAAGAAAGCCTCAAGGGGAGTTGGGATTTCACCTAAGCCTTGAAAAGTGGGCAAAGTTAGTAGATGGAAAAGAAATGGGGAACCATTGCCCATTGGAGGAAGTTGCACTGCTGCGTTATTTCTGCAGTCAGGAAGCAGGTGCAGGAAAAAGCCAGGAGTAATGAAGCACGGCAGAAAGACCCCGAGTTTGGAGTCAGGCAAGTCTGGGTTCTAATCCAGGTGCCCCTGTGACTTTGGGCAAAAATTTCCCAGGCTCTCTGAAGTTCCATGTCATGAGGGTTAAAGGAAGTGTACCTACGATGGTTGGCATGTACCATGTACTCGACAAATGAAAGCTGTGGTTTTTATTACCATGCAGACTGTCCTCTCACTCTGTGCTAACCTGGAGAAGTGCAGTAAGCCTGTAGAAACTTGGGGTTTCAAGAGAAGAAACCAGGAAAGGTGCTCAAGGAACCCCCCACCAGGGACTGCAGGTCTGACGTCCCTTCTCTTTCCTTTCCTCTCCCAGCCACCTGTGGGCTGAGACAGTACAAGCAGCCTCAGTTCCGCATTAAAGGAGGACTCTACGCAGACATCACCTCTCATCCGTGGCAGGCTGCCATCTTTGTCAAGAACAGGAGGGCACCAGGGGAGAGGTTTTTGTGTGGCGGAATACTGATCAGTTCCTGCTGGGTCCTGTCTGCTGCGCACTGCTTGCAGGAGAGGTAGGCACTTCAGAAAAACCCAGTAGGTCTCCCTAGACTCTAAGGCCTTGAACCCAGGCCTGTTAGAAGAAGCCTCACAGTGAGCAGAGCATAAGGCTGTCTCTCCGTTAGGTATCCTCCCCACCACCTTAAGGTGGTCCTGGGCAGAACGTACCGAGTGGTCCCTGGAGAGGAGGAGCAGAAATTTGAAGTAGACAAATACATCATCCATAAGGAATTTGATGACGACACTTACGACAACGATATTGGTAAGATGTCACATTCTCCCCGCTGCGGACGGCACCATACACAGCCACACATGTGCACTCACACCTCTTCCTCCCCCACCCTCACCTCCTCCTTCGTCTTCCTCCCCTCAAGTCAGAAGCAGCCCTTCCCACGCGGCTTATTGCCTTCTTGCTCTTCTCCCAGCACTGCTGAAACTGCAGTCAGACTCGCTACAGTGTGCCCAGGAGAGCGACACTGTCCGCACCGTCTGTCTCCCTGAAGCTGACCTGCGCCTGCCTGACTGGACAGAATGCGAGCTGTCTGGCTACGGCAAGCACGAGGCGTGTAAGTGGAAGGAAGTCTCGGCCCCATCCTGTCTGTCTGCAGGACAGCAGGGCATGCACTTTCTGGCGGAAGAAAAAGCAGTGACGAGAACGTTCTAGCCCAGGTTCAGGCACTGATGTAAATGTAGGCAAGTTCCCTGCGGACCGAGAACCCCTCACCTGCCTTCCCTACTTCGCAGGGTCACTGTGCAGGCCACGAAGGGTCTGAGTAATACAAGTGCTTTGAAGAGCTTCAGGCTTCAGGAAGGTTCTGATAAGAAGTGGAGTACAGTGATTAGGGGGTGTGGTTCTTGGACTCTCTGGTTGCGCAGTCCGGAGATCAAATCTGAGATCTGCACCTTGTAGCAGTGTGGCCCAGGACGGGGATTTTTGTTTTACACTGTCCCAATCCCCTGTGTTCTCACCGGTAACATGGGGGTAGACTTAGCTGCCTCCTTAGATGGTGAGAATGAAATGACAGTAGGTGAAGGCAGTAGTTTTCAACTGGGGTGATTTTGCCGCCCCCCCCCCCCCCCCGCCCCAGCCAGCAGACCCCGGCAATGTCTGGAGGCATCTTTGATCGTCACAACTCAGGATGGAGGTTTATACTAGCATTTAGGGAACAGAAGCCAAGGATGCTACAGACATCTGCAGTGCCCAGGACAGCCCCCCTCACATCATCTGGCCCCAACGTCACCAGTGCTACTACTGAGAAACTATGGGCTAAACTCTGTAAGATTTCTGGCTTTGTCAGTCAAAACAATCTTGACGATTTTGTAGGCGTCCACCTAACATGTGTGAAAGCTCGAGACAAGTTAGCCATTATTAGAAAATTTGGCTTCCTCCCTCCAAAAGGTTTACAAATAACTTTCCCTAAAACCATCGGACATTTTCCCTTCTCTCTTGCAGCTTCTCCTTTCTATTCTGAGCGGCTGAAGGAGGCTCATGTCAGGCTGTACCCAGCCGGCCGCTGCACGTCACAACACTTGTTTAACAGAACCGTGACGAACAATATGCTGTGTGCTGGAGACACACGAAGTGGTGGGAACCAGGCAAACCTCCATGATGCCTGCCAGGTAAACACAAGAGTCTCGCCAGAGCCTGAACCCACCCAAGGGTAAAAGTGTCCCTTGGCCAACAGGCTCCGAACCAAGAAAAAAGTTACAGCCAGAACCAGGGGATCTCATCTTGAGGAGGCACTGGAAGTTTGAGATGAGGGCCTCAAAGAATAACACAATCAGAGAAAGATCAAAGTTACCCAAAGTTATGAAATCTAAACTGCAGGAAATTTCCCCAATGTCTCTACCGGAAACTCCACCTGGTTCAGGGTTTCCTGTAGGCCCAGGCAATTGATTGACTATTGAAGTGATGGATAAAGCAACACAAATTAAGCAGTTCTTTTTTTTTTAATGTTTATTTAATTTTGAGAGAGACAGAGACAGAGTACAAGCAGGGGAGGGATGGAGAAAGAGGGAGACACAGAATCTGAAGCAGGCTCCAGGCTCTGAGTTGTCAGCACAGAACCCGGCACAGGGGTCAAACTCATGAACCACGAGATTGTGACCTGAGCCGAAGTCGGATGCTTAACTGACTCAGCCACCCAGGCGCCCCCAAATAAAGCAAATCTTGACTTCTGGGGGTGCTGGAGAACTGGGGTCTGCCACGTAGAAGGGGGAGGAGGGGCTGCAGCTTACGAGGAAGGGGGACATGGATGATTTGTGAGAAATAAGTTTTAAAAACTCTTATTCAGCCCTAATATGAGGTTTTTAGCCTGGGAAAGCAAACTATTTCAGGTTGTCTGTGTTGGCATCCTTATCAGAGTTAGTACTTCTCTTTCGTGATAATGAGGGACTGGGTATGGGACACAGACCAACCTGTGGCATTAGGACCTAAATATAACCAAGGCACAGTTATTGATGAGACATTTTCAAGCCTACAGTGTGTCAGGCTCTCCATCGAGGGCCTGGGGGTTGGAGGGGAAACAAAAAGAAGGAAGCAGGGCTCTTGCATCAAAGACTTTGTGGGCTTTGTTCTTATAAGGTAATCATATCAGCCTCTGCCCTCAGTTCCTTGACAACCTTTGTCTCTTTCTGAATGATTTCTTCAGAAACCTCAGCTGTACCCCTGGCTCAACAGTCATAAAAAGTTGTATGCAAAGTGAAAATATGATCTGCAAGCTTCAAGTTAAAAACAAAAACAAGAAATTATTTTGGTTCAATAAGACGGTAACAGCCAATTACCCAGAGTCTTACAAAATGTCATATGTCGTTCTCAGAGTTCTTCATGCTCTCTCCCAATTAATTCCTATAATAACCTCATATGGTAGATAGCATGAAGTCTATTTTACAGAATATTGAATATTGAATACAGAATAATATTGAAGCACAGTGAGTCTAAGCCCACATAGCTAGTAAGTGGGAAAGTTAAAACCAGGGTTGTGGCCTGAAATGTCTGAGCAATTATCTCAATTCTACTTTGCAATGTAGAACCTAATCCCCTACAGGATCAAGATCTTTGAGATAACAATTTCCCTCTCTGAGCTAAGTACTTTGAAGAATACGATATTAGCACTACAATATTAACCCTAACTTCCCCCTAAAGAGTCTGTGTGTTGTGCAAACTGACCTGTTCTCTCTTTTGCAGGGTGACTCAGGTGGCCCCTTGGTGTGTATGAAGGACAACCACATGACTCTAGTTGGCATCATCAGTTGGGGCCTTGGCTGTGGGCAGAAAGATGTTCCAGGTGTATATACCAAGATTACTAATTACCTAGACTGGATTCAAGACAATATGCGACCATGACCAAGGACTCCCAGTTCCCTGACATCATGGGAGGAAGCCCCAGCTTCCTCCACTTCAGAAGACACACCAAGGCGGGGTGCTTCTTCACAGAGATGAGCCATAACACAGTACAAGTGGGTGGCGGGTGGGGGGAACCGATAGGAGAGGGGAGAGGATAGGTTTTCACAGGTACTTCCCATTTTAGAAGTTTCCAGGGGCTAAGATTGGATTTCAG